GTCAGAAATCCAAAGCACTCAGCACTTCTGAAATTTGGCACTTCGGCAATTCTGTTCGGTTCGGAACTTCTGAAATTCGGCACTTCCGAAATTCGGCACTTCGGCAATTCGGACATTCAGAAGCATTGCCAGGGCCCGCAACATACTTTCTGTCAATCCATTACATTTCTATTCCCCAACACTTCTTAGGGATAGATCAACTGGCTGCAAAGAGTTTGGTGCAGGCCATTTTCTAGTATATATTAATAATTAAGTCCCGCAAGGCTAACACCCATCCTCATGCAGAGGTATGAAGCCTACTCTATTAGTAACCTTCAGCTCTTGTTGTAGTATACTCCATCGCGACCACTGCACAGCCCGAGGTACGCTTTGGGGGAGGAAGTCTGTCAATTGCTAGTCAAACTCAAAAGGCTCAAAATCCTTGCCTGGAAATTATAGACCTGTGAGCTTAACTTCTGTAACTGGGAAACTATTTGAAGGGCTATTAAGGGATAATATTCAGGAATTCATTGGGAAGAACTTTGTTATTAGCAATAATCAGCATGGTTTTATGAAACATAGGTCATGCCAAACTAACCTAATTGCATTCTACGAAGAAGTAAGTAGAAGTATAGATCAGGATGTTACAGTGGATGTGATCTACTTGGATTTTGCCAAGGCATTTGATACGGTTCCTCACAATAGGTTAGTCTTCAAACTAAAATAAATTGGTCTAGATGAATATTCTTGTTCTTGGGTAGAACATTGGCTTAAGGATAGAGTACAACAAGTTGCAATTAATGGTAAATTTTCAGGCTGGACAAAAGTGGTAAGTTGTGTCCCTCAGGGTTCTGTTTTGGGACCACTTCTATTTAACATATTTATAAATGATCTTGAAATAAGCATTGAAAGCCATGTATCAGTGTTTGCAGATGACACAAAACTTTGTAAAGTAATACAATGTGAGCAGGATATTGCTTTGCTGCAGAGAGATTTGGATAGATTGGGGGACTGGGCACTAAAATGGCAGATGAAATTTAACATAGAGAAATGCAAAGTTATGCACTTCGGGTTAAGAATGCACAAGCAACTTACACATTAAATGGTAGTGAATTAGGGATAACCACACACGAGAAGGATTTGGGAATTGTTATAGACAACAAATTAGGCAGCAATATGCAATGTCAATCTGCAGTTGCTAAGGCTAGTAAGATTTTGTCATGTATAAATAGGGGCATAAATTCTCGGGATGAAAATATAATTTTGCCTCTTTATAAATCGCTGGTAAGACCACACCTTGAATATGCTGTGCAATTGTGGGCGCCTGTTCTAAAGAAGGATATCATGGCATTGGAGAGGGTCCAGAGACGAGCTACAAAATTGATAAAAGGAATGGAGCATTTTAGTTATGAAGAAAGGTTAAAAAATTAAATCTGTTTAGTTTGGAAAAACGGCGCCTGAGAGGGGATATGATAACTTTATACAAATATATTCGGGGCCAGTACAAACCTTTATCTGGAAATCTATTCGTAAACAGGGCTATACATAGGACACGAGGTCACACATTTAGGCTGGAAGAAAGGAGATTTCATCTAAGGCAAAGAAAAGGTTTTTTTACAGTAAGAACAATAAGGATATGGAATTCTCTGCCTGAAGACGTGGTTTTGTCAGAGTCCATACAGATGTTTAAACTGAAATTGGATAAATACTTACAAAAACATAACATACAGGGATATAATTTCTAATTAGTGGGGTAATAGCTGCTTGATCCAAGGAGACATCTGACTGCTATTTTGGGGTCAAGAAGGAATTTTTTCCTAGTTTGTGGCAAAATTGGAAGCGCTTCCGACCAGGTTTTTTGCCTTCTTTTGGATCAACAGCAACAACATTTGTGAGGAAGGCTGAACTTGATGGACGCAAGTCTCTTTTCAGCTATGTAACTATGTAATTATGTAAAACACAGCAGTATGCAAAATCATATGGCTGGCAGCAACACTGCAATTTTACCTTATCTGCGTACACATAGCAGCCTGTCACAACATAGCTGCTGAAGCCTTGTCTCAATCCCATTTCAGGTATTCCTCCAAACATTCCATGGCTGCTTAACCACAAACTAAATCATTCTAGATTAGCTCATCTCATGGTCATGGTAGATTGCTGGCACACGCGGCTCTGTCTGCTTATACCAACCATTTATATACCAAAACTCTGGCCATTTTAATAAATTCACTTTGGAATCGTCAATCCGCACTTCATCGATACCATGGTGACATTCACATCCTTTTGCCACCTCAACTTTAAATTACAAACTCTTAAACTTATACCCACCTGCAGACATACACCTACATACTATCAACAATAAATGGTTCCCAGTCAACATACTAGACCAATTTGTCCTACACTCAAAGGACTACACAGGCATGCGCTCTCTTTTAAGGTTACACGTTAACCATTCACTACATCATATTCATCCTGTACGTCAGGACACAATTCATAAAACCCTAAATGTCCCGTGTGCCTAAGCTTAGTGAATGCACTAACTACAATGAATGTGTAAAACTAGTTTTACTTCCCTTCCAGGACCTTGCTGTGGAGGAGTAGCAGGGTACTAGCACGCATGTGCAGCACAGGATCCAGCTCATTCCCCTCACCGGAAGTGACGAGGATAGGGGATTTTCACGGGTAGGGAAATTTTATAGAACACTGGCTGTAACGGGCTGGGATTATTAGGTTTAACGCAAGGTGTGTTCCACAACGAAGGAGGAAGAGGAAATGACGCGGTGGAAGGAGGTGTTCCGGGAAACCAAGCAGACTCCCACAGATGCCAATAATTTTTTCATTTTATGTCAGGTATATAAGAATACTGAAAATTAAAGCCATTTATCCAACTGAAGAAGCCAGCACATGGCGAAATACGTTTTGGACTTTGATGAGTTTGTATTATTATTTTTTTATTTACTTGTTTTAACCCAATAAACGTTGGCACATTTAAATATCCTGTGGAATCTGCCTCCGTCCATGGTGACATTGCAATGTAACAAATAGGACCACGTGAGTGCAATCTATACCATTACGATATTGTAGTTATAATACAGTATTACGCTATAAAAGATTTTCTGATTTCCAGCTTCATCTACCCATTTAAAAACACAGAAGAGGACTGTGAATCTCCCTAAAGATCCACAAGCATCACTCACTAGAACCAAGTGAAATCATGTGGCTCTCTCCTTGTGAGTGTATATTACTTATTTTGGGCACCCTCTTACTCAGTTTAAAGAAATAATCTGCACTATTCTTGTATTTCTACTCCTTTTTTTATAGATTCCCATTTATCATGTTACTTTTTTTTATTTTTTCAGACCATTCCTGAACAGCATGGTCAATCTCAATTACCCCCAAGAAACCTTTGGAAATTATACTTAGGAGGTTGTTGCAAAGCTGAGTTAATTCATAGAGGCAGGGCCAAGGCTACCATAAGGCAAAGGGGGAAGCATTATCTGGCGAATATCCAGGCTCTGGGTGAATGGCAGGAGGAGAGCACACAGTGATCCCCCTCCTGCTGGTAACTGCATGTAGTGTGGCAATGCGGACCATGCCACTGTAGAGGATCTTTATCCTCGATCCAGTCTGACAGTATTGCTTGGCGAGAGCACCAAACAGCTTCCTGTCAGACCTGATAGACGAAACAGAAGCTCCTCTACCATGGTGCACTTAGCCACTTTACATGTAAGGAGGTAAGCAGGCACACAAGGGGGGTGGGTTGTAGAGGATATAACACAAAAAGGCCTGTGGAAGGGGACAATGACAGAGAGTCTGGTTAAGGGTACAATGAAACACTATGAGGGGCTGGAGAAGAGGACAATGACACACTGAGGGGCTGAGGAAGGAGACAAGGGACACACAGAGGGTCTGAGAAAGGGAACAATGATACACACAAATGGGCTGAGGGGGAAGTAAGATACACACATTGAGTCTAAGATACCAAGAGGAAAAATTGTGGATAAGATACACTTAAAGGGGATGTAAGACACAAACGAGGGGGTAAGATACACAAAAAGTGGTAAGACATTCAAAAGATAGGATAAGAAACACAAAAGGTGGGGGGTTAAGAGACACACAGGCAAAACTGCATTTTTGTTTGGGGGAGAATGGCGCAGTAAAATACATCTCCTGTTCATCTGAGTAGTCAAAAATGTTTGCACCGGCCCGGCATAGAGGCCATACTAACAAACACCAATATCTACCTAGGTAATAACTTAAAAATAGTGTAATACAGTAAAAATAAAAATATAAATGGGAGTACTCGTCTCTCTTTGGAATTTTCATTTAACAGCAAATCATATATGGAGAGATAGACACATGGTAGATCCTCACTAGTAAAATTACTTCTTATATTTATTGTACTAACAGGATTTAAAATAATTTCAGACAAATCACCACATTCACTGGTTCTTCACACAAACAGAATCCCAGATGGTGAACAGCAAGTAAAAGCACACTAATACATATACATAACAAATATTAAAAAACAAAAAATCAAATAACATGTCAAAACAGCCGTGTCTTTCATGTGCATGGACATCATCAGGGTCAAATATAAAGTTCAGTGCAGTAGCAGTCCGTATACATCCTCAAGTGTTCAGAGCAGCTTAAATTTCCTGGTCACCCTATGGGTACCATAAGCCTAATATGACCCTCTTTTATGCATTCCAGAACTCTACCTTAAACCGGAATTCCACTTCCGGTTTAGGTCACTGAATGCATCCATCGTGCACAAACTGTAAAAAATTATTTATTTATTTTTCATAATAAATGGGAATTCATACATATGACACATCAGATTAAAGATATTTTTGTGTTGGTTCAGAGAAAAGGCAGTGTTTATATTACTGCCTAAAAACATCTCCAGTGGCAGGCACTAGAGGTGCTACCTGTGTCAGTGCTGCACGCGTTTGTGTCAAACTGAACGTTAGCCATAGAGATACATTGATTCAATTTCTCTACGAGAAAATAAATAATTGGCGCAGAGCGAAGTTTTGAGTGGGCATTAGCTTCTCAATGCTTTCCTATGGCAATACATTGGATTGGCTGAGATTGTAAGAATTGATTATCTCATCCAAAGAGGCAGAGCGCATGCAGGGCAGGCAACGAGGAGATCCGTGCGTTTAATACCTTTTTCATGGGGTTAGTTTAATACCTTTTTTACGGGGATGGAGCCTAAATACTGTGTTTTACACCTATAGTGTCAGGAATACATATATTTGTATTCCTGACACTATAGTGTTCCTATAAGTGCAAGACAGGTTTCCGAAGCTATTTCTTTAAGGGGTTAAATTTATGTTTCAGTGCATAAAAACAAATTTTCTTTGCAGAGTTTTAACTTATAACAAACATGTAAACTCCAAATTTTACTATTTTTCAAATTAAGAAACAAGTTTTTTTGATTTTTTTCATCTAAAAAAAAGCTATAACACATTCAACTGAAATTTTCACTTTAAATGTCACCTGCTCTTATGTATGGAAGTGGTCATCTAGAAATTATTCTTAACAATTACGGTTTATGAAAAAAGAAAGAAAAAAAAAAAAACACACAAACACTTTTTTTTTTTTTAAATGGTGAAAGCATGTGATCTCAACCAAACCTCAAACCAAACACTTCACCAGATTAGCCCTGTCTGATAATGTTAAGTTATTTTTTAAAAAAATAAAAAAGATGTTTAACAGATAAAATTATACACACACACATATACATACACACACACACACGTATATACACACACACATTTTTCCCCCTAATACTCAAAATATCCTCTTGCCACTAATCATTGGCAAGTGAAAATGTAGTCCTTGTGAGTAGAGAGTCAAGCATGCAGCATATACTATAGCTTAGGGCTACAAATTTAAGCCCTGATATATAAAAAAAAAAATAAAAAAAATTATATATATATATATATATATATATATATATATATATATATATAAAAATATAAGCCAGTTGACACATTACAACAATTTAATCTCAATTAAGTGGTTATGGTGTCTGGAGAGTCTGGTGACATCCCTCAATTCACTGTTAAACTGTTTTTGGATGGTTGAGCACTGAGGGGGCCCTGACCAACCAGAACCTGCCCCCAACTGGAGATAAGACTAAGGCATACATTTCTACTACATGTCCCTTTGGCCATATGAACAGCAATGAGCACTTTGGACAGGCTGAGAGCAGTTAGCTGATGCTCTGAGTGTATCCCATCACTACTCAGGATAATGTGTAAGCATAGGCGGGGCCAGGTAGCCAGGGTCCCTGATTCACTAATAAACTGTTTGGAAACAATTTAACACGGAATGAAGGGATAGCTCTAGTAGACTCCAGGCACCATAGACACTTTAATGAGAGGATGTTTTTACAGTGCCTAGAGTGTCTATGTAAAACAATGTACAGGCAGTTTCTAACGTGCTACATAAAGGAGAAAATTAAATAAAAATCGGATGACATTAGACAGTAATAAATTGTTTTCCTACAGATGAGAACATTTTAAAGTTTACTGATTTTTGACGGAGAGTACACTTTAATTGTACTATAACCTGCAAATAAACTAGATTAGTCCTTCCGAAAGCAGGTGCTCTTTATAAACATTTGTTGGTACGATCAATTGACATAACAATGGCTTAATCAATGTTGTTTTATTAAAAAATATTTACATGACCAAAAAAAGAAAACAAAATGTGTGCTAGGACAACAAAAATACTTATAAAAACACATTCAATGAGTGAATGAAAACTTGTACAGCTTCTTTGGTGCCCGTATTTATAAAAAAAAAAAGAAAAAAGTTAAGATGATTCATAAATAAACCACAAGCTCAAACAGAGGATTTGCATTAGTGCACATTATTACAGCTCTCCGTATGAGTACATAAGAATTACTTCACAAATAAATAGCACGTCTGTTAAAAAGCAGCAGGTCCAAGTCTTGTAAACCGTCCTTTCTTGATAACACGAATGTTTCAAATGAAATCCAGAATTTCTGAAGACGAACACACGACGGGTAAAAAGTGCTGTCCATTGATTGGTCCTACTCATGTTTGTTCAAGTTGCATCACTGTTTCATTCTTCCGCTTTTTTTTGTTTTCTTCTAAAAAGGTCCCGGCCTTAAAAACCAAATGCTTAAGTGGTTATTTACAATGCTCTTTCCTGCTTTCAAACACAAAAGGATAAATTTGCTCCACGGCAGTGGCAACAGATTTCACATCAGGGCCTGCAGGAAAGAAAAATAAATAAATAAATATAGATTAGTATAAAGTCAGGAAAAGCATACTGGATTCTAAAAACCATCAGATTCAATTACTGTAGAACAGTGTAGAATGCTGACACTGTATAACTGAAAAGGCTGATTATACCAGGGACAGGGACTGCAGGGAGAACATGCGGGTGTTTTTTTTTTGGTTTAAATACAGACATAAGTTTTTGATTGGAGTACAATACAATAAGAAATGCTTGCATGTTTTGCACCCTAACCATCATTTTTTTGGTGATGCAACATTTGTTAATCACTGCCTGAAGACCATTCCGTTTTACTTCCCTTTTATTCCTCCCACTCTAAGTTTAGCAGTATTATCTAAAACTGATATTTTTGTGTTTAAAAAAAAAAAGGGTGTTATTTAGGTAGGGGAAGAACAGGCTGTATTTCTCTCTCTCTCTCTTTTTTTTTTTTTTTAAACACAAATTTTAGAATAATTTAATAAATAAGGCCATATTAAAGACCAAAAAAATAAAAGTCACTTTTCAAACCAATCTGCTAAATCTCCCCTATTGTTTTGCAGAACCTGGGTATTTTGTCCCAATGTGTTCTGCAGCTGCATCAAATAGCTGAATAAATGGAACATGCTATTTATAATCACATTAAATAATATACAGAAGCAGTATACGGAATGAAAATACTGGACTGCCAATTATAACAGGATTACAACCCACATGAAATGGTTTTGGCTGACAAATGTTTAATGGATGTGAAGTCTACTTACATCTTGAGGTCTGCTATTTGATTACCTTTGCACTGTAGTATATTATACATCTACAATATTTGAAATATGCACATCCATCATCAAGACATTAAAGGAACCCCTTGGTCGTATTGTGCTTACTCAGAGTCCATTCTAATAATTACCTGTTACTGTAATACTTCCGGTCGAGAAGATCTGTAAAGTTGATCTCAGAGTCTTTATTCTATAGCAAACTGCAGGGTGAAGTTCAGGCTCATAACTGTAAGTCAAAAACATAGAGCATTAACTCACGTTTCAACCTAGATAACTGTTCATATCAATTAAATATTTAATGAGAGGACGATCCAGCACTGCATAGGTTATACTACAGGCAACCACATATTTACAACATTAATTTGGGTTTTCCTCCCATCACTGAATTAACACTTACCTAGCATGAGGGCGATTCTTCTTTGTAAATTCTGGAAGTCTTATTTCAAATGGCATGGTACAGACTGCAAGGACATTTACAACTTTATACTCTGTGAATTTTACCTGGGGGAGAAAAAACAAAACATAAACCATTAGCTTCAGCCTTGATGCAAGAGGAAGCTATAGTGCTAGGAAACAAGTTTGTTTTCCTAGCATGATAGCTGCTGGTGTTAAAAATAATTATAACATTTTCATTCAACATGACAAAACCAAAACATTTACATGGAAACCAAGCTTTTGTAGACAACGTGCCAAACGTCTAGCACCAAACTTCGCCTCTTCTTCACTGTAAAGAAAGGAAGAAAAACAAAAACAATTACCCTTATGAATTCTGGACTAATGTCAACATACTCATGGTACCTGGTGGCCAGAGAAATCTCTGCTGACAGTTTACTTTTCATTTTAAATGTAAACAGACATGTCTGTGTATATCTGTGTGAATGTATGAACATAAGCAAGTGTGTGAATTAAGGACTCTATGAAAGTATGTTTGTACTTTTGTCTGCATGCAAGAGTACATGTATACAGAGGTGAGGTGACTGAATAATTGTGCATGTATCTCTATGTGTAGGTGTGGGAGTGTGCAATTAATTTGATATGCATATGAGGGTGGCTGATTAGTTATTATTGTGAGTGTAAATTCGGTGAGAGAGACAGACATACTTATAGGCATCAAAACAACTTTAGCTTGATGAAGCAGTTTTGGTGTATATATCATGTCCCTGCAGTCTCACTGCACAATTCTCTGCCATTTAGAAATTTAAAATGGCAGAATTTTATGAATGTCACTTTCGTTTCGGATTACGTAGCCCTAGCCACACCTTTCCTGGCTGTGCCTCACACAGTCTGTATTAAAGAAAATTACATTTTCAGTCAGATGTTAATATGCTTTAGAAGTATTTATCTCATGCTCTGTAGGGACACTATAGGCACCAAACGAACTTTAGCTTAATGAAGCAGTTTTGTTGTATAGATTATGCAGTCTCACTGCTCAATTCTCTGCTTTAAATTCATTTGTTTATGCATCCTAGACACATCTTCCTGCATGTGACTTGCACAGCCTTCCTAAAACACTTCCTGTAAGGAGAGACCTACTCTTTAAACTTCCTTTATTGCAAATTCAGTTTAACAGAGCAAGAGATAAGAAATTCTTCGTTTTCGAGGCCCTGCAAGACTTGTATGTGATTAAAGTTCAGTTTACAGAGCAGGAGATAAAAAAATTCTAAAGTAATTTAACATCTGATTTGGTTTGGCTAGGGCTGCATAAGCAGAAAAAAAAAAAGGTGATTCAAGTCCTAAACGGCAGAGAATTAAGCAGTGAGACTGCAGGGGCATGATCTATACACTAAAACTGCCTCGGTAAGCTAACTTTGCTTTAATGCGTATAGTGTCTCTTTAAGGTTGTAAGAAAAACTGAAGTTTTATAGTAAGTGTGGAGTTTAGCTTCATAACTACTATGGTCTGTTTTCGTTTTTACGGAACTAGTAAGGTTAAGGCAGTTGTTCACTTGTTACGTGTGAAAGGGTTTTCTAATGGCTTGACAAAAACTAGAGGATCCACCAAGCATCTATGGCCCCTCGCTTGCTGCAAAGCTGATGCAGAATTTACACTTTACTCAATAGCACTGTCAATTGTGTCCATATATGGATGACAGTTGTAGTGAAAACGTGGAACTGCACTCTGTCCCAAATATTATGTAGCTCGGTGCAACCTGGCCAGTCCCAGTACCAGGGACCAAGTACTCGATGCAGATAGAAGAAAGGTCCAGGCACTCCAAGGTACAAAAAGGCAAATTTATTGAACCCACTCCATCTCAACGTTACGACCTATACGGTCTTTGTCATGCTTGAAACATTGTGATGGAGTGGGTTCAATAAATTTGCCTTTTTGTACCTTGGAGTGCCTGGACCTTTCTTCTATCTCATATACGGATGACAGTGATAGGCTGAAAGCACCAGCAGAAATTCTCAGGTATTCACTGCAATCTAAAGTGGAAACAGACACTACTAATGAGGAATTGTAAATGATGCATTAACAATACAGTAAGTAAGCAAGTAGTCTCTGGATGCCGTGGGGGACTCACATTTTTTTCCAAATTATTTGATGATGGTTTAACACAGAACTAAAAAACAAAAACTACTATGGGAGTAGTGTTGCTTTTAGCTGCAAGCTTTTAAGAGTGCAGGCATCCAATACAGGATTTAAAAATTTCACATTGTTCATATTTTATTCAAGAAGGAGATACTCTCAGTCATATCCTTTGTACCAAAGCTTCATGGAACCACTATCGGACCATATGTTGAGAATCAACATTGTAGCGTACATTAACCGAGTGGAATTAACAAACCAACACTTAAAGCATGCAAGGTTAAATAAAACATGCAAAATGTAATAAAAGGATATGGGAGACGTGCTTCCTCTTTACTGAACATTAAAGAGACACTAAACACCAATACAACTTTAGCTTTATGAAATAGTTTTGGTATAGATCATGTCCCTGCTGTCTCAATTCACTACCATTTAGGAGTTAAGTCACTCTTGTTTCTGTCTATACAGTCCTAGCGACATGTCCCCTGCCTGTGGCTCACACTGCAGGCTATTAAGAGAGCAGGGCAAGAGAAGAATTTCTACATGAAACCAACTGTGCAATAAAGGAGGTTTAAACATTAGATCCCTCTTTACAGGAAAGTATAGGGAGAATATAGGTCCCGTGCAGAGGAGGTGTGGCTAGGGCTGCCACACCCAGCACACAAATCAATTTAACTCCTACATGACATAGAAGTTAACAGTGAAACTACAGGTGCATTTTCTATACTCCAAAAACACCCCATTAAGCTAGTTTGGTACTTGTACTGTCCCTTTAACACAGATAGCAAACTTACCTGGTAGCTCCTGTGCAAATTATTTTTCCTGAAGACCAAATTGTTGCAGTAATTCTGGGCTTTCTAAGTTTCATCAGCACCTTCTATATATAAAAAAAAAATTAAAAAAAAAAGAATGAATGAAAATAGCAATAAAATAACTTAATTATCTTGTATTTTATGTGACATTTTAGATTAGATTGGAAAAAGAAAAGAGAAGAGGCGAAGGTTGCAGTACCCGATAATACAAGAAATGTAAAAAGAAAATTAAATAAATCTATATCTAAATCTGAAACATAACTTTTAATAAAGGTCCATAAGTAAAAGTCTCCAAAGGGACAAGACCAACAACAAAATAAAATAGTACTATACACACAACATATATAAATTAAAATAGCAAGGAAGCAGGTCCACACAATGGGCTTAATACTCCTGAGAAGTATAGAAGGACTACCAGCCTTGTGTCCGTCGGTGAGTGTGGTGAAAAATAGACAAAGTATTTTTTGTTAAATACATGCTGGGTGGTCATTTTGACTATTGCTGCCTGTATATTGCATCTATGTAACTGAAAATCGTCAGTATAGTGATCAAGGAAAAATGTACACGAAAAGTAACTGTTGGTGGGTATTGGCAAAGAAATACTTGTGTTAAATGAGGTCTAATAACTCCTATATGGAGGCAAAACTATACCAGAAAAGGGGGGATACGGAGGGGGGAGAGTATTTCTATCCCTACTGTGCCTTCGAGGGCACCCCTTACCCCAAAACGCACCCTAAATCTGTATATAGATAAAACACCACCCACTTCTCCAAGAGTCACAACGAAATCCTTGTAAAAATAAATTGTTAAATTAAATAAAGTCGGATATGCAAAAAAAACAACTGAATCTAATGGGTAAGTGTTCCAGTATGTCGGCAGATACTGCATGTAGAGAGTCTGGAGCCAGCAGTGCCCCAAAGCCCCTGACGTACATTTCGTTGGGTCAGCTCATAAGAGGGGAACCGTATAGTAAGTTTTGCCGGTTTTCAAAATTGATGGGTGAGTGTGTGGGGGGTGGTGGGTGTGTGTGTGTGTGTGTGTGCGTGCTACGGTCTAATTGGAGCGTTCAAATTTAAATGCTCCAATCACTTGACCGTGTGATTAGTAAGGTGTCTCAGTTGGGGAGGAGGAGACCATTGAAAAAATTATTACGTTAAAAATGAGTTGATAGATGCTGTATTAACAGTAGAAATTTTAGAATCGGAACTTTATAATTAAGTTGTTCAGACATACCTCTTAATAATTACTAAGATGAATTAGGAAAAGCCACTTAAGGCTTTAGACTATCACAAGAATATAATAAATAAAAAAGTATCAGGTGTTTAAAATAATTTCCACTTGCTTAGAAAGATTGAGATATATACTGCTCTGTATATTTTATGTTTAAGAACAAATGACAGAGAGTGGAGAAGGACTTGAGGCATTAGCGGATGTAAACGTGCCTATTAAAAAGACGGAGGGTTTGTGAACTAAACAGCGATTTCAGACCTTGTAATAAATCCGAAGTTGGTACTTCTTATATGGGAATGTCCTATTCCATTCTGAGATGCCCAAGCCTATATTACAGAATGTGCCCACTATTATTACCAGAAAAATCCAGTCCCAAGATACAATGGCTTAATAAGGTGTTTAGAAATTGAAAAGAAAAAGAAATAATAATAACCAAATAAAAAGAAGGATAGTATTGTGCCTTCAGTGTGTGATTCGTGGTTATTAAGGTGATGTATGTTACCATACGTATTTACTAGATATTAATTGTAAAATACATCGTATCTAGAGGATTTGCAAATGCCATAATTTCTGTTATAGGATGTAGGATTGTGAACTTAGTGACGAGATTAAACCCTGTAGTTGAGTAGAGGTTAATACTACTGCTATAGGTTCCTTCTTTTCTTCATAAATGCCTAAGCGTTTGTTACAAAGAATCATATTGATACAAGGAATGTTCAATCCTGATCCAATTGAAACAAAGTAGGATACAAGGTTGTCCAGTGAATATTACTTGTTTTAAAAAAGTTTAACAGAATTAAATTAATAAATCAAAATCACAGAAAAAACAGTTGTGTAACAGAGTTATTAATGAGTAGATATGTATCATACTCCCCTAGTGGACGATAATTATCCGTGAATAAAGGGGGTGAAATTAAATTCTTCATTAAGACCTCTGGGGGCCAAAGTTTGAAAGATGTGTATCCATTTGGATTCTTTTTTTTAGAAGTTTCAAGTTGAAATTCCCTTTCCTAGAGTTTATTGTAATTATTTCCAGTGCTTGGAATTTTAAATTAGAAGCGTCACTATTGTGAAACTTTCTGATGTGATTAGCGACAGGAGTTGAGATGTTGACATTATTGACTGTATTAACATGTTGAACTCTTCGCCTAAATTGTTGGTAAGTTTTCCCCACGTATTGTAATCCGCAGCTACACGTGATCACATACACAATTTTGGTAGAGGTGCAGTTAATAAACTGTTGGACAGGAAATCTTGCTTTTGTCTGTGTGCACTCAATCACTTTAGATGGTTTAATAAAATCACAAGCTTTACAGTGACCACACTTAAAGACACCTTTTATTTCAGTGAGCAAGGTCTGTTGAATGGGATCAGGTTCTAAGTGACTGTGTACTAACATGTCACGTAGGTTTCTGGGGTGACGAACTGTAATGCTGGGGAAGTTGGATACATGGTTAGACAAATCCTCATCATAGGTCAGCATAGGCCAATGATCCGAGTAAATTTGTCTCACCGGATCCCATAAACGGTCAAAAGTGCCTATGCAGCGTATCAATGATTTTTCTTGTTTTGGTCTAATACTTCTTAGGCTAATTGATCTCTCAGTTGAACTGGCACGTTGAAAAGCTTTCTTAAGGATTTTGTTGGGATAACCCAAAGATTTAAAACGTTTAAGTTCTTGTGCTTCCCTTAAAAATGTTTCCTGACTGGAACAATTCCTTCTTGCGCAGAGGTATTGGCCGTATGGGATACCTGCTTTAAGGTTATGAGGATGGTGGCTCTTCCAGTGAAGCAGGCTGTTAGTTGAAGTTGACCCAGCGAAACCTATGCCAGGGGCTTTGGGGCACTGCTGGCTCCACACTCTCTACCTGCAGTATCTGCCGACATACTGGAACACTTACCCAATAGATTCCTTTTTTTGCATATCCGACTTTATTTAAATTTAACAATTTATTTTTACAAGGATTTCGTTGTGACTCTTGGACAAGTGGGTGGTGTTTTATCTATATACAGACTTAGGGTGAGTTTTGGGGTAAGCGAAGGCACAGTAGGGATAGAGATACTCTCCCTCCATTCCGTATCCCCCCTTTTCTGGTATAGTTTTGCCTCCATATAGGAGTTATTAGACCTCATTTAACACAAGTATTTCTTTGCCAATACCTACCAACAGTTACTTTTCGTATACATTTTTCCTTGATCACTATACTGACGATTTTCAGTTACATAGATGCAATATACAGGCAGCAATAGTCAAAATGACCACCCAGCGTGTATTTAACAAAAAATACTTTGTCTATTTTTCACCACACTCACCGACGGACACACGGCTGGTAGTCCTTCTATACTTCTCAGGAGTATTAAGCCCATTGTGTGGACCTGCTTCCTTGCTATTTTAATTTATATATGTTGTGTGTATAGTACTATTTTATTTTGTTGTTGGTCTTGTCCCTTTGGAGACTTTTACTTATGGACCTTTATTAAAAGTTATGTTTTAGATTTATTTAATTTTCTTTTTCCATTCCTTGTATTATCAGGTACTGCAGCCTTCACTTCTTCTCTTTTTCCTATTTAATCATAGGGGTTAATCACAGGCAGATTGTTCATTTCTTCGTTTTCTTTCTTCTTCTGTTTTATAGCACATTTTAGATTAGGTTTTAAACTATCACAGCATTAAAGAAACAGTAAATCGTTGTGAATATAAATGTGTGTTACTAATGCTAAAGTGCCCTGTTAGTTGTTTAGGTGTCAGGCTTCCCCAAAGTCTAAGGAGGATAAGCACAGCCAATGCAATGCTTCAACAAAGGAAAGCACTGGGAGGCTAATGCATAGACACAACAAAACACCACCATGGGGGTGGTCTTGTAAAAAGTGTTGTGTATGTGTAAGGGGGCTGCCTGTGGGATTGTGTATGGAGAAGACTGTTTATGGTGTAGAATGTGTGTAAACAGGTCTGTTTGTGGTGTACTATGCATGGACTGTAATGTGTGTATGTTTAGTGGTTGTAGTTTGCATATTGGAGCGTTAGAATTAGTATGTTTACCAGAATTTACATAAGTTGTCAAACTGTTCTTAAACGCCTTACTCTGGAAGGGCGCTAGGGTACTCCTGGCACCATAACCACTACAGCAGGCAGTAGTGGTTTGGGTGCTTGGAGTTTTCCTTTAAAAAGCTGCATGTGTATGAGTGGATACTATGCACGCTGTATGTAGGGAGAGACTTCGTGTTTTGTTTAGGTGTAGAGTGGCTTTTCAAATAGATGCCTGTGTGCACATTGTGGCTGTATGCGTGGAGTGACAGTGTGCGTATAGTTCAGATGTAGAGTGGCCTTGTTGTAGATATTGTAGTGTAGTGGAGGTGTGAGTGAGCTGACATGGTCTACATTGTCTGTGTGAATGTGTGGTCATTGTGTTTAGGTGTAGGCTGTTGTAAGTGTGATAGCTGTAAGTGTATTGCTCTGCATGGGTACAGAGAGGATGGGTGCAAGTAGCTGTGAGTGGCATGTGTGGCTTTTTTTTTGAGTAGCTGTGTGTAGTGATACACCCACTTTAGCTTACAATGATCTATGCAGTAGGATTGCTTGCAAGGATTTATGGGTTGTCACTGTGTTAATTGGAAATTGTCTGTGTGGGTGCCCAAGCATTTAAAAATATATATATATATTTTAACCACAGTAAGTACAATATAAAATATTAAGTTGCTAAAGAAGCAGTTTAATTTCCTTCCATGGCAGTTACACTCTAAACTCAGAGTTGAACATTATTAGTCAATGATGTTTATCTGCCCTTACACAGCTTTACAGTAACAAAGTGTCCAACGTGAAGGCTGCCTGTTACAGTACATCAATACAGATACTGCTACTGGCTGCACAAAAGCTAGACACATTCCCACGTCTCATTCAAAACAGAAACTGAATTGCCATGGTTTACTTCAAATATCTTAAAAATGGTAGAAATATGTTTAATCGATACATTTAGACCTCCTTCACAAAATAATTGCAAAAAGCACACAGTTGAAAATGATCGCTTTTGGAAGTAATTATGCTGACTATTGGTAGCCATAGTTTTTACCTTTAAACAACCACTAAAGGGTTCCAGACCACTTCATCTCAAATAAATGGTCTGAGTGCACTGTCCCCTTCAGTTTTAATCCTGCAATGTAAAACATTGTACTTTTGCAGAAGCTGCAATGTTTTTATTGCAGTGTTTAACGTAACTCTTGCAGCTGTCTTCCTGACCACTAGTAGATGCTCTGTTCTCAATCAAATGCTGCTCCTAGAGCTGCATTTCATTGGTGCACTGTGGTGATTTGTCAGGCATGTGCTCTAGCCTCCTAGTGATTCCCATTGGGAAGCATTGGATTGGCTTAGATCATTAAGCCAAGGAGGCAGGACCGGCAGCAAAGAAATCTAAAGGTAAAAAGGCTCTTATACTTACGACACAGAGGAGGAGGAACACTATAATGCTATAGTGTTCATAGCATGTCAAACTCAAAGGCTAGCAGGGCCAAATAAACAAGGTTTAAGTTTATGTGGGCCGCAAAAAAAAACAAAATAACGTACATTTTCACCCCCTCTACTAAACCCATGACCCTCCTCGTCTACTATATCCCAGTCCCCCGTCTACTAAACCCCTGCCCCTGTTTCAAAAATAAATAAATATAAAAGAAAAAAAAAAAACAAAAAAAAACCCATACCAACAGCCAACAAGCAGTGCCTGGAGTCCGGCCTCTGGCATACCCCCAATGGCCCCATCCACACCTTAAAAAAGCGGATTCTCCCGTTACTTGAAACCCTCACACACACACTCACTGAGACACACAGCCACACAACTATACACACCATTTTAAATTGTGTGTGTATATATATATATATATATATATATATTTTTTTTTTTTAATACAACAGGTACAATTTAAATATGATTAAAACCTTTTCTCTTTGAGCAGTTATCAATATGACAGAATATTCAAAAATGACTCCAAACACCATCAACCCTTCAGTGATTCTATGTGGTCATAGTGCATGACGTCTGTACTTACAGTGTTAAACTCTACAGAGTGTAACATCTCTGCAGCCTAGGGGTGTAACTCCCCCACTTGCAGCTTCACTGGGATGTCATTAGCCAGCCAAGAACTAGAGTTCCGGATGGCCAAAATGTATTTTGTACATACAGGATGTCTGTCGTCAGCATGCACAACATGTTGGTGAAAAGAGTACAATGGAGGCACACCTCTCAACATTCTGCCCATATTGTCCCCTCGGGCTTCAGGGAGAACTTGGCCGTGGATCTGGAGTTAAGTTTTAGCTTTATTTAAATTATTTTTATTTTTTGGGAGTGAGGTGACTAGAACGGCAAAGGTTACTCCAACCAAAAACAATGTTTTATGAAAACAGTTTTTTGGCTGCAGTAACCCTTTAAAGAACTGTATGGACCCAGTCACCCAAACAGACTTATTTAAATAAATGTAGAGATATTTATGGAAGAACTCACATTTACAAAATTTTATATCAAAAGAGGGGTTTAAAAAAAAAAAAAAATATATATATTTTTTAAATTTTACTTACTCCAACTTCACGCTTGTAAATAACGTTTGTTCCCTCCAAAGCAATCTTCCTTAAATTCAAGTGGCATCTTGTCCGGAATACACATACCACATTAGTGATTAAAATATCCAGTGCCACATCACTATCTGCATCCATTGAGGTGGCTTACTCAATGTTTGTCATCCACCAACAAGTTTGGAGTCTAGAAAAATAAAAATAAACAATAAATCAATTTCACTTTTATGGGCATTCAGAAAAAACTGCAATTATATTTGGAGTGGCGATTCATCAATAACAAGTAAGCAGTGTAAGGGAAAGCAACCAAATGCACAAACAAACAGTTATAACACAAAGGTTGTCAAACAAATATTAAACTGAAAAACCACACAAAAGCAAGTGATCTTGTGTATGAAAGAAAATAAAAATTGCAACTGTGAACAAAAATAAAGAATAAATGATGAATGTCCTAAATATTAAACCAAGTGCATAGAGGTTTGGGAATAAATGTTCATACCCCATGGTGGACCCTTTTTACTTTAGTGATTCCCGCATTAGGAAAAATCCAAAGGCCTACAGAGGGCAGAAAGTTTTATATTCATCACTTAAACAAATGATGTGTACACAGAATATAAGAAATTTTGTGAACCCAAATTATAGCTGGAGTATTTTTAAGCAATTTTCTAAATTCTATTGTATTTCTTTACGGTGTCCTTTTGAAACAATCAATAATAATTTCAGATTCTCTTTTACAACCTATTTGAATTCTAAAGCCATCAACATTTTTTACTTAACAATTGTATGTCAATTAAAAAACAAAGCAACAAAAAAAAAATACAATGCAATATTCGTACCTGTAGATAGGCATGCACGACAGAGAAAGTGCCTAATCACTTGATACATTAACCCAGCCACAAAATATGTGAGAAACATAAGGGTACACATGCAGGCATTTTATTTTCAGGAACCAGGGTAAATGTGCCTTTAACCCCTTAAGGACACATGACATGTGTGACATGTCCTGATTCCCTTTTATTCCAGAAGTTTGGTCCTTAAGGGGTTAAAGCTGTAGTGGCAAAGGCTGCAAGGTCTCCTCACTGTGCAGCCACATAATCAAGATAAAACACAAATCATGTCCTTAAAAATTCTAATTTGCTTTTTAGAAGAGAGGTTTATTAATATTTATGGAATTAGTGAGATTAACAGGGGGAAAAAAAACAACCAAGATTCAGGGGTTGAGATTTCATTTTACAAAAACTAGGTAAGAGTCTATTAAAATAGTAAAATATTAAGGGCAAATACAATCACTTTAGAAACCATAACACTAAGGCTCCAAATTTCAGTAATAAGATTACCAAGTGTATCAAAATAATGCATGAGATGCACAACTAGATTTTATGGATTATTTAGGATTTATCCATACACATTGCTAACGTTTCCCTTTCAATTTGAATATACATGATTGAACAGGCGCAGGGAAAACTCCCCCAACCCCTCTCCCCCTTTTATTATTAGGAATTCCCCTGACACTTAAAGGGACACTCCACTGCCCAAATACAAAACAAATAAAAATTACCGTTTAGTGGATATACCCCAAATTAAAACTTTCATGCATTTAATTATGTATTTTTTCATTGGGGATATGTCTAAAACCAGCTTGCAAAACCTGCAGTTCTCTTGGTTGCTGCCTTTAGAAGTTCTCCCCTTCTATCTCATCCCAGACTTTCTGGGGCTGTCCAATCACAAGCTTCCAAATACAGCTCAATGAGAAGTCTAAATCAGGTGCTCTATGTCACACTAGGATGATCTTTTTTTCTTCTTCTTTAGGTTTTAGCCATATGCCCATATTTTAGTTTCATATATATATTTATGAAAGAGAACACAGGAAGGTCACTGGGAAGGCCGCCACATTTAGTTCCAGTATAAAGAGTTATTATTATTGGTATTTATATTGCGCAAACTTATTCCGCAGCACTTTACAATATTATGAAAAGGAGGAAATTTAACAATAAATGAGACAATTACCAAAATGATACAGGAACAATGGGTATAGGAGGACCCTGCTCAAAAGAGCTTACATTCTAGAGGAGGGGAAGGGCATCAAGAGGGACCGCAATCAAATAAGGTGGAAGAGTAGCAGAACTGAAAGTGAGAGTTGGGTGTGACTCTTTAAGAGAGAGCAAGAGACATATGTGACATAGAAGTTACTCTGGGAGGCCATAAGCAATTCTAAACTGAAAGGTTTTGAGGGACTTCTTGAAGATTGAAGACTATGGGAGAGTCTGATGGGTGTAGGCAGGATGGTCCAAAGGAAAGTAGCCACCTGTGAAAAGTCCTGCAAGCGTGAGTAAGCAGTGAGGGTGCGAGGAGCAGACAGGAGAAATTCACCGGCTGAGCGGAGAGACAGGCAAGTGGAATACCTATGAATCAGTGAAAAAAATATAACAGGGGTTAGAGGTGTTTAGAGCTTTACAGGTAAGGGTTAGCATGGATCCCTCCACCGCCTGAAGTGTAACCTCTTAAAAAGTGAACCACTCACCGTCTTTAAAGTTCTCTGTATCATCCTAAATAGCCACTCTACTGCCCAAATAGAAAAACAAATAAAAATCACTGATTAGTAGATAAACCCCCTAATGAAAAGATGCATGCAAATTTACGCATATTTTCATTGGGAGTGTATATATAAAAACAGCTTGCAAAATAATGCAGATCTCTTGCCTGCAGCCTTTGCAAACCTATACCTTGAATTTCTGTGGCTGTCCAATGACAGACATTCCAATGCAGCTTAATGAGAAGTCTTTGTAAGACAGATGCTCTGGGCAATTGCTGCCACTTGAGTTTAGCTACACTGAAAGGGTGGTGAAGCAAAGTTAATTCAGAAATGTGCCAATTTTGATTGACATCTGCACTGTTTGTAAAATGGGGAGAGAGGGGGTGGAGGAGTGTTTCTTCAATGTTGAATCAGCACTGTCACCATCTGGGGATTTTGCAAAGATCTTCGACAGTGACATCACTGCTGGGGGGTCCAGAGAATGTTGGGGAGCAGTTAAAGGAGAGGTTTACTTACTTGAACCTGTCCCTCGCAAGAGCTGCCTTCATCCTCTAGCAGGTCCTTTTCAGCATCAATGCTGTACAAGAGTACAGCATTGAGGTCTATCAAAGATACCGCAAAACCGCGGGGTCCTCCATAGGCAGAGCCAATTCCCTGCACGTGTCACGGTTGTCTGGATTGACAATGTAGCTCCGCCCAGTGTCCACGAAAGTCAGGTGTAGCAAAAATATATAGACATCAGTTGGATGTCCATACTTTGTCTTATATATTTAGTTGGAAATTGATCAAAAATGAAACAAAGAAAGCTAAAGTAGGGAAGAAGAAGGGACAAGAAAGCAATAGGGAAAAGGTAGGTACGGTATGACAGTGGCGATTTAATAGAATATTCATGACATTACTATATCCTCAGCCAGTAACACACAAGGATGCAATTTCATATTTACTATTTTTGTACCCCTTTTATTCTTTCATGAATTCCTCCAGTTCCCACCACATTTGTGCTATATTGAACGTCTCCATCAAAAAAATCATGGCCCTCAACCTTTGCATTATAGATTTGGCTATAACACTTATCACCTTATGCTCAAAAAGGTTACAAGGGAAGCTCCCTAAAATCGCTCCAACCAACAGGAAGTGATGAGTAACAAGTCAAGGCTAATCCCCTTCATGTCTTCCAACAGGTTCAGTACCATCTCTGTAAAATATACACAGGTATGGACTGGAGTGCAAACAGCAGACTAATGACACTCGCCTTGCTGCATGAAGGTAGCACAGCATATAAATCAAAACACAAAGTCCAATTTACCCCAGGATGACTGGTGCAAATCCTAGATTTTCACCTTGAACTTGCACAAACCAATGTCAGTAGCAGTCACAGCTGGACATGACTGTCCAACAACCCTCAAAGGACTAAGCTCACTCCTAACCACAACAGAGCTCAATTTACTAGTCCACACATTTATCTCCACCCACTTAGACTACAGTATACAAATGCTTTGTGCACTGGTTTCCATTAGTCCTTATTTCCAGAAGATAAGGAACACAAGTATGTGTAGGATAAGGCAGAAAACAGATCATACCCTAGCTTTGCTAATGTCACTGGCTCACTTCAGTGGGATTTAGTAACCTATTTAAAGTAGCCACAATTACATCCAATGCAATAAATGATCTAGGACAGGGGTAGGCAACCTACGGCACTAGTGCCGTGCACGGCACTCGAGGCTGCTAGAGCCAAACAGGCTCTGGCCTATCAGGAGTCCCAGTAAAACTTCAGATATCTGCTAATACGAAGAGGTGGTGAAGGACAATCCTCAATTTATTTTCTGCATTGCAGCACGTAGAGGAAGTGATCTCAGAGCACTTCATTCCAGCACTTGTGAATGGGAATCCACAGAGTAGTAGAGCAGCTCGCAGTTGCAGCTCCTGTCCTTGACCTGTATCTGGCCGGCCTGGTCCCCACTGGAACCCAGGGAAGCCACCCACACTGCTAGATATACACAGAAATGCAGAATAACCCTCCCCTCATACAAATAATACAGACAGCCCACACACAAACATACACACAATCTGCTTAAACGCAACACCACTAACAATCCACATACATGCACACAACCCCACATGCAATACCCCAACCAGCCCCCACACAATGTGACATATCCATCCATACACACAATTCCACAAGCAGCCCCCATACACAGCCCACATTCATATGTATCATACACAGTACCATAAACTACTCATGAACATATACAATATAATAGCTCAAATACAACGATACAAAGCAATTACAGTAAAAATAACAAGCAGAATACGGCAAACACACTTCAATTTAAAAAAAAAAATAGGACCAGCACATCACAATCCTACATCGGAACAGTGCTGCTAAAAGGTTGCCTACCCCTGGTCTAGGACCTTGCTACCTTAGAAACAAGCTCATCCACATCAACCCCACCTTAAATCCTGAAACTTGTAATTGGTTTCCTATCAATCAAAACTTTACATCTAATTACACAAAACCCTGCTGCTTTGTCAGCAGTAATACATTTTCCTCTACTGGTGCACTCTGCAAAGCCTTACGCTAATTCTCAACTGTACTCACTCATTATTCCAGCATGTTCCCCATATTCCTGTAACCTAAGGTTCTACAACTCTTAGAGTAACCCTCCCTCTTCCACAGTGTCTCCAGTGTAAAGAAAAACCGCTATACAGTCTTCCAAGTCATCCAACAATAATACACACCATGCAATCAACTCTGCTGTTATATACACCAGCATTTATATTGTTTGGATTGTGCAATGTTTCTATGATATTTTACCACTTATCCAGCAGCCTATAGCTTGACATACACAATGTAGCCCATATTATACAATATGATGGACTGTGTCCACTCTGCCCTGTGTATGGGGGCCAGCACAGGCCCAGTTCGTGGTGTGTTCCAGCCATCAGCCAGCTCCCCCAGGCTGATTACAGCCAATGATCTCAGCTCCCCCAGCCATTGATGCTGCACAGTTCCCAGGCCTGATCTACAATGTGCTGAGCCTGATCTCACCCCCGCCGTGATGCCGCTCAGTTTCTCACCCCAGCCATTGATGCTGCTCGGTTTCTCACCGCCGTGATGCTTTCTCAGCCATTGATGCTGCTCAGTTTCTCACCCAGCCCTGCAGTGCTGCTCGGTTTCTCACCCCTCCCAGCCATTGATGCTGCTCAGTTTCTCCCCTCAGTTTCTCCCCAGCCATTGATGCTCAGTTCCTCAGCCATTGATGCTCAGTTCCCCAGCCATTGATTGCCATGCTGCTCAGTTTCCTTGATGCCTGCTCAGTTTCTCCACCCCCAGCCATTGATGCTGCTCAGTTTCTCACCCCTCCCCAGCCATTGATGCTGTTCAGTTTCTCCCCAGCCATTGATGCTCAGTTCCCCAGCCATTGCCAGTTCCCCCAGCCATTGATGCTCAGTTCCCCAGCCATTGATGCTGCTCAGTTTCTCACCCCCATCCATTGATGCTGCTCAGTTTCCTCACCCCCAGCCATTGACGCTGCTCAGTTTCTCACCCCTCCCCAGCCATTGATGCTCAGCCCCCAGCCATTGATGCTCAGTTCCCCTCAGCCATTGTTGATGCTCAGTTCTCCCCCAGCCATTGATGCTGCTCAGTTTCTCACCCCCTGTGCAGCCGATTGTGACCCCCAGCCATTGCTCGGTTGCTCAGTTTTCACACCCCCAGCCATTGATGCTGCTCGAGTTTCTCACCCTCCCCAGCCATTGATGCTGTTCAGTTTCTCCCCAGCCATTGATGCTCAGTTTCCCAGCCATTGATGCTCAGTTCCCAGCCATTGATGCTCAGTTCCCCAGCCATTGATGCTGCTGGGCTTCCCCAGCCATTGATGCTGCTCAGTTTCTCCCCAGCCATTGATGCTCAGTCCCCAGCCATTGATGCTCAGTTCAGCCAAGCCACAGCCCTTGATGCTGATGCTGTTCACCCTCAGCCATTGATGCTGCTCGTTTCTCACCCCAGCATTGATGCTGCCCACCCCAGCCATTGATGCTGCTCAGTTCTCACCCCCAGCATTGATGCTGCCCCTCAGCCATTGATGCTGTTCAGTTTCTCCCAGCCATTGATGTTCAGCCCCCCCAGCCATTGATGCTCAGTTTGATGCTCAGTTCCCCCAGCCATTGATGCTGCTCAGTTTCTCCACCCCAGCCTGCTGCTCAGTTTCTCCCAGCCATTGATGCTCAGTCCCCCCCCAGCCATTCTCCCTGCTGTGCACGTTGTGCTCTGGGAGTGGTTCTCTCCGTACTGTGTGTTATACAGGGTTACATTGAGCACAGTACAAGGTGTCGGTATGTACTTACCGTTAGGCCCCCATTGATTCGCGCTCCCAGTCTCGTGGTTCTCTTTGTCCGGGTGCCGAGCTCGCTCCTGCCGCACCTGCTGTCTTTGTTGCCGCGGCCCGATCCACTGACCGACACAATAACAATCCAGGCTGACTCACAGAGCGACAAACACTAGAGTAAGCCCTGCCAACGCGCATTAGTACTCTATCGAACGTCTCCAGGGCACAGCGCTGTGTGTCATTTAGGCAGCCATTTTATTAGTGACCAAGATATGCTAAGGACAATGTATCTGGCTCCACCATCATGGTTCCTGTGTGGGAGACCCGGATGTGAAACACTGTGTTGTTTGTCTTTTGTGTATTGAACTCTGCATTAGTGGGTGGGTGCAAGGTGTCACATCGCCAACCGCCAATCACATAAACGGCGGAACCAGAGAGTTTGCAGCGCGAAATGACCCTGAGAACCTTTAAACCGCTGTCATGTGACTGACGCCTCTTTTCAACATCTTGTAAGAAGATGAAGTGCGACCTCAGGTGGTGAAGGAGAGCACTACACCAGATTTCACTAGTCTGATGGCTTTCCACTCAATACTTTGTTTTGTAGCACTGTGCTATGAAATTAATATTGGACAAACCTTTAAAATACAAATCTACAAAATAATGTAAAACTTTGTACCAGTAAAAGGATAAATAATTTTCAAACATATGTTGTTTTAAACAAATTCAAAGGAAACCGGATAGAAAGAAAAGTTAATGGTGCAGGAACTAATTTTAAAAACAATTAGAGAAGAACAAGAAAAAAAATCATTAAAAGATTTGAAAGAAGATGACATTTTAGTTAAAACCAGTTGACAAAAGGGGAGGAGGGAGGGGGCGGCTGTATAGTTTTTGTGTCTAGCCAAAATTATGATAAAGAGGCTAAAATAATCTTAAGTGATTGTAATACTTATCAAAATAAGCATGACCCTACAGCTGTAATTCAAAATATATATATTTTTTATTTTTTTAGAAAAGGCCTTTTAAAATGACTATAAATTAATATATATGTGTGAGTATGACTATTTAAATTTAAAAAAATAAAAAGATTCCAGTATTTTATTTGCTCCTGAAAATGCATAAATATATTAATAAACTATCAGGGAGACCAATTACAGCAGTAATAGATGCAATATCAAGTAGCGATTCCAAATATATTGATATCCATCTACAATCACTAGTTTAAACTACTACCTCTTATATTAGAGACATGACTGCTGTTCTACAAACTACTGACAAATCCAAATGTCAATATATATTTTAGTAACAAGTAGCATTATGGAACTATACAGTAATATACCTCATGAATGAGTTCCCTATCCCCCAAATAAAGAAATATATATTTTTTTGTTTGATAATTGCTTTATGCAAATTAAAGGAATGAACATGGGGACTAGGTTTGCAACCAGTTATTATTATTATTTTATTATTTATATAGCGCCATCAGATTCCGTAGCGCTGTACAAAGGGTGGACTAACAGACATTTAATTGTAACCAGACAACTGGACATACAGGAACAGAGAGGTGGAGGGCCCTGCTCAATGAGCTTACATTCTTGAGGGAGTGGGGTATAGTGATACAAAGGGTAAAAATAGGGGTACAAAGCAGGTTGTTAGAAAAGTATTAATTGAGGGCTTAGTAGGTAATTTTTGACAGTTGCAGGAGAGGAGTCATAGGGGTGGGGGATAAAAACCTACTAACAGTTCAATTGATATGCTTTCTTGAAGAAGTGAGTTTTCAATTATTTTTGAATGAGTGGAGACTGGGTGAAATTCTTATGGAGGAGGGAAGGGAGTTCCACAGAAGAGGTGCAGCCCTGGAGAAATCTTGGAGGCGAGCATCAGAGGTGGGAGTATGGACAGAGGATATACGTAGGTCTTTGGCAGAGCGTAGGGGCCTCGACGGGACATACTTGTGTATTAGGTAGGATAGGTAGGTTGGAGCAGCATTATGTAGGGACTTGTAAGCAAGCACCAGAATTTTAAATTGAGCCCTATATCTAACTGGGAGCCAATGCAGGGACTACATATGTCAATTTATGTATGGCCCATTGGAATAATTTTTCATTTATAGTCAACATACCTGGGGACTATATGTATATATATATATATATATATAGATATATATATTGTTTAGATCTATATTTTATTTTTTTATAGAAGAAAGCACTACTAAAAAGCCAAACTATTTTTAAATCAGTAGATGCTAATAGTTTTATAGAAAGAGTGAGTTGCCATTTCTCCACTTGGTTAAAAAAATGCACTTAAAGGACAGTTTTTAAAGGAACACTATAGTCACCTAAATTACTTTAGCTAAATAAAGCAGTTTTAGTGTATAGCTCATTCCCTGCAGTTTCACTGCACAATTCACTGTCATTTAGTAGTTTACCCCTTAAGGACACATGACGGAAATATTCCGTCATGATTCCCTTTTATTTCTGAAATTGTGTCCTTAAGGGGTTAAATCATTTTGTTTCTGCTTATGCAGCCCTAGCCACACCTCCCCTGGCTATGATTGACCGAGCCTGCATAAAAAAAAACTGGTTTCACTTTCAAACAGATGTAATTTACCTTAAATAACTGTATCTCAATCTCTAAATTGAACTTTAACCCCTTAAAACCGGAGGACGTACAATTACGCCCTCTAATAGGCGGCTCTAAACGGGTATGTCCAGTCTTTTTTAGTAGCCACTTAGTCACAAACACTGGCCAAAATTGGCGTTTTTTGCATTTTTCACACACAAACAAATACTAACGCTAACTTTGGCCAGTGTTTGTGACCAAATGGCTACTAAAAAGACTGGACATACCCCATTTGCAATACCTTGGGTTGTCTACTATTGCAAATGGTATGCCATTATGGGTGTAAATTTCATTCCCGGGCTACTATACAGTCTCAAAGGCAACGTAACCAATCTGGCGAATTTCAATTTCAAATGTAACGTGCTATATTTGACCCTGTAACTTCCCAAAACGCCATAAAACCTGTACATAGGGGGTACTGTCTTACACGTGAGACTTTACTAAATACAAATATGTGTATTTTATTGCAGTAAAATCAAACAGTATTATGACACTGACCTTTAAAATGCAATTTAGAACTAAAAAAATCAAAAAAATCGTATTTTCTCCCATTTTTTTCATATTAAATTATGTTTCATAGCTAAATATTTGATATTAAATGAAAGCCCTGTTTCCCCTGAATAAAATGATATATAATAAGGGTGGGTGCATTTACTATGAAAGAGGTGTATTACGGTTGGACAGACATGTAGCGCAAATGCCAGGTTTTGTTTACATTTTGTTTTGTTCACAATGTGTACATTTGGCTCCGTCCTTAAGGGGTTAATCACATACAGGAGGCTCTTGCAGGCTCTAGCAAGCTATTAACATAGCACCGGATAAGAAAATCTTAATTAAACAGAACTTGCAATAAAGGAGGCCTAAATAGGGCTCTCTTTACAGGAAGTGTTTATGGAAGGCTGTGCAAGTCACATGCACGGACGTGTGACTAGGGTTCATAAACAAGGGGATTTAAGTCCTAAATATTAATTTAGTTTATATTAGTAAAATGCCTATTTACTCAGTATAGTCACAATCAGCATTATTCATGTGATTAACTAAAAATGGCCGCTGGGGAGTTTCCCCTCAAACATCGACTAACTACCTCGTGTAACAAGATGGCGCTGGAATCTGGGGGAGACCCATATGATACCAGTGACATCAACCCTTGTAGGCAGAATATTAGAAGGACCACTTAACACCTAACCAATTAATGATGTATTATTCCATGTTATCTCTGACAATGCATATGATGTAATTCTGTTTTAAAAGGGACTTGCCGTCCCCTCTGAATAAAGATTCCTAAGTTTTTCATTAACCAGAAACTTGTGTCCGGTGTGAAATTACTTCAGGAGCGTGCACGCACTTCATCTTCAATTAGGCCTGGGGCAGATACACAAGATAATCAATTTATTGATTGAGTTCCATTTCAACTTGGCGCCCAACGTGGGGCCACCGGGTTTGCCGGTTCGGACGGCCGGAAAAAAACCAGGACCGGAGCGGACCTCCGGAAAGTAGGACAACCGGAGCCTGATCACCTCCTGATACAGTGGTTTGCCTGTATCCTCCTGTTTTGTGTCGGTCTGTCTCCGTGTCCACTTCCGGCTTCCAGAAGGCTACAAGACAGGTAAATACTTACCCGGTGCCCTTTTAACGAACCTGTCGAATGTCTATCTGCCTCCTGAAAAGATAGAACTGTGTAAGTGTGTGTGTGTGTGGAACAGCTGTTGTATATATAGATATCCCGGCACCCCATCTCTCCTTGTTTTATCCCAAGCTTCACTGCCTAGAGGGCAGGGTTTGCGTCCAACCTTTCCTTGTTTTACCCTTAGCTTGACTGCCTGGTAGGCAGGGTTTGTATCCCGATACCCCGGCACCCCATCTCTCCTTGTTTTATCCCAAGTTTCACTGCCTAGCGGGCAGGGTTCGCGTCCAACCTTTCCTTGTTTTACCCTTAGCTTGACTGCCTGGTAGGCAGGGTTTGTATCCCGATACCTCGGCACCCCATCTCTCCTTGTTTTATCCCAAGCTTCACTGCCTAGAGGGCAGGGTTCGTGTCCAACCTTTCCTTGTTTTACCCTTAGCTTGACTGCCTGGTAGGCAGGGTTTGTATCCCGATACCCCGGCACCCCATCTCTCCTTGTTTTATCCCAAGCTTCACTGCCTAGAGGGCAGGGTTCGCGTCCAACCTTTCCTTGTTTTACCCTTAGCTTGCTAGTTTTGATATGTTTATGTTTCTGTTGATTCTGTTTGCACTCAGTCTTCTGTTTAGTTGTGGTCATAACGTGGGTACCCTTGTTGGTTGTGTATGTGTTGTGTGGGTTGTTCTTGATTCCGGATTATGTGCACATTTTTATGTTTGTGATTTTTGTAAGTGTTTGTTGATTAGTTTCTCCACATTTATCTTCTCCCTAACTCTCTATCTTGTCTGTACTTGTTGCCCAGAGCTGTGTTAGTCACCCACGCTCGCCTGTACTGATCCGCGGTCACCACCTCGGGTGAGTGGATCCCGTGTCTAGTCTACGTTTTGGGAAGACACACAGGAACTGGTTTCTTGTGGCAGTCGAGCACTGTAGACTTTTCCTTCTTCTCCCTATTCCTCTTCTTCCTGTCTCTTGTTTATTAAAATAAAAAAAAATGGGACAGGAATGTGCTAGACCTTCAAAGG